ACGCGGTGCCTCGCGTCCTTGCCGTTTGGTTTCTCGTCAAGTTTTTCGCACTTGGGGCATACCGCCTAATGTAATCTGCACACGCGTTCGTGGTTCGTGGTATTACCACCAGCCACGTTACGAACCATAGTCATGCCAATGGTTTCATGCGACAGGTTCAGTCGTGCTCATTTCCTCTGGGACAGGCCAAACATGTGGATACATTTGGCCCTTTACAAACCTTGACCTCAAACATTGGTTATCACCCCATAATTTTGAGGCAACAACCTTTTTTTTGGTAGTTTGAGGGTCCAGGAAGATGGTTGCTTTAATTGGCATAATGTTCCTGAAGCTTCCATTGCTGCCTTTAAGTCCGCGATGCTTGGGCAGCGCGCGGTCCTTTAAACAGTGTGTGTTGTCTGTGCTGTCAGAACCTGACAAATTGTGGTCGTTTCTGAAAAAGGCTACATCAGGCAAGTTGTAGTTGCAAACATGAGGCAAGTTGTAGTTGCAAATCCCCAAAAGGCACAAATTTGCGCAACCTCCGGTTCGGTGGGGATGCCGTTTCGATCCAATCCCAAACAGATTGCCCACGGAAGTTGGTGCTCAACTCATAGGTAGCCCAGTGCCGATGTCGAAGCTGCGGTGTTGCGTCTTTTTGGCTGAAGCTGCATGGTTGGCATATGTTCGCCAAAAAAAGGGCGAGGACAGCTCCTTCTCTGTCCCTTATAAACTTGGACAGCCCCCTATTCATCAACCTGGCGCCTTCAACTACAGTCGGGACCGAACATGAGTCGCCACTTTGAACGGCCAGTGTAGTGGAGTGCCCTGAAAATGCAGAACAACCTCTGAACCTGTTCCATTTCTGCCGTTTGTTCTCTTTCCAGTTTGTTGGTGTCTGCTTGGAGGTTACCCTCCTTTCAATGGTTTTGTAGGAAAACCATCTTTTTTTTGGGGAGGGTCGGTACCCTTGAACAAGACACGCCCATTTGGTTCCCTGTTCGCGGCTTTCACCCCACTCGTCACAACCAAACGTCCGGCAGGGTCGACGTCGCAGAGCAAAGTGGGCGCCTGGTCTCAGAATCGCCGGGTCTGCGGTCGGCGGCGCCAGCGGCTTGGAATTAAGCCGTTCACTGGGCTACTTTTCGTTGTACTTAGTAAGTGGCCAACAACCATGGTTATAACCCACTTACCGTGAAGTGATTTAAGCAAACCGACGGGCTCTTTGTGTAGCAGCGGTTGTTCCTTTTCATGAGCTCAAGCGCCCAAGTTGCACAAAAATGTCAAAATGTGTGCCTCAAAGTCGGGGACCCCCGAAAACTGGCCGGTTTTCTGTTGGAACCAGCCCAAAGTACTTGCGGTCACCTGCTTTGTGTCTTTTTCCGAGGCCCCAGGTGGACAATGCCTCGCCAAGACCGCCAGGGCCCGATCGCGGCTGTTGCGGGGTCGTCCAGAATTCGGGGGTATTGTGGATGGACAAAATCCATCTCGCACAGCTTCGAAACCATTTTTGTTTCCATTGCTTGTTGGAAATTGCAGGGGAATCCTCAGAATTTCGTAATTCTTTGGACGAAATCCTGCAGAGAGCAAATGGATGCCGTACGACATTGTGAATACGTATGATTCGTTTGAGCAGGCAATCAGAGCGCCAGGCCAGCAATTCGACTGCCCCTGAGATCTCGTAGCTCAGCGACCTCTCCGCTGAGGTTGGCAGCGGTCACGGCAACGAGCTTCAGCAACCACCAGGCATGTGGCAATCCCGCCTGGACGCGTGTGTTGTATATGGATGTGGGTCAAAATCAATGGTACCATTTCGGGGTAGGTGCACCACCCATGTGGGGAGTGGGATGTTCACTGGGGGTACGGGATTTTGACCCATGGCCATATGTTGAAGTGAGCAAATAGATGAAGTTGGAGCACGGGAGGCCTGCGGATTATGCGGACAAATGCCAGCAGAGGGCAGACTCAACTGTTGAGTTGGTGAGGCTTTGAGCTTTTTGGCTTCTTCATCGCTGTATTCAAGGCCCAAAAAAGACATGCAAGAAACTTGTCCTAGCAGGTCAGAATCTCGCAGGTCGAGTTTCAGAATGTCAGAATGTCAGAATATAGTTCGAGGGTATCGATGTGTTTGAGTGTTCTCCGCTGTGGAGTCCGATCCGAAAAGGGTTCCGTTTCTGGGATCCCTTTTTCCTGACATGTGTCTGGAGTTTTGCTTTTCTCACTTCCCGAGTTCATGGACTTTAGTCCCTTTTGAGGTTTGGACCATTTTGGTGGTAAACTGGGTCCCCCAGTAGCGCCCTTTTTCCCTTTTTTTGGGGAGGGTTCCCCTACTAAAATAGACTACAGAACAAGTTGGATCTCTCTACTGGAGGACCTAGTAAATCCAAAGTGTGGTTACTTTTTTGGTGGCCATCCACTCCGGAAGTGCGCTCTTTGGCTTCCATTTGGTTAAGAACACTTTTGTTTCTTCTTCTTTTTTTCTTTAAAGAAATTCCCCTGTTGGTTTTAAAGGGAATCGATTTCACTTCTTCTTTTTTTAACAAAAAATAAAATAAAAAAAAACAAAAAAAACAAAAAAAACAAAGATAAACCAATCAAAATAATAGTAAACAAACTAGGGACTTAGGCAATGGAGGCTGGCTAAGGAAAGTCGTCCCAAAAGAGTTTTTTCAGGAGACCGACGCCCGAGGCCCTGAGATACCTGAGTCGCTGGACCGGCCGTGGCGGCCCCACGAAGAGGCGCCCCTGAAAAATGGACTGGGGGGGGGGGGGAATGACCCTGGAAAATTCAATTTGTTAAGTTGATGGTTCCATTTTTTAGAGGAAGACTTAAATTGATGGTTCCATTTTTTGAATGAGGAAGACTGGAAGGAAGTGGGCGGCCTCCTGCCCCCCCCCCCCCCCCTTCCCCCTGGGCTTCCGGAAGGTAGCAGCGGCTTTTGGTGTGACCGAATCGCGCGAATCGACCGTTGAGCTCAAGGAGACGGCACAAATCCAACCCCTTTGGGTCAGTTGACCCCCTTTCACTAACCGGGAATTGTGCTATTTACTTCCCTGATAAAGGAGGGAGTCCCCTCTATTTCCCCTTTTTTGTGTGGGTTTGGTGGCCAACGCGTTGCCCTTCAGGACAGCAACGCCCGAGTTTGTCTCTCTCTTCCCGGAACTTGCCGACAGCACCGCCCGAGCCGAAGCCTTCCTTTGAGCTAACAAATGCCCAAGCACCATTCCAGGGGTACCTTCCATGTCCATTCTTTCCAGCGATCCGAATCTTTCTAGAGAACCTCCAGACACCCGGGGAAAATGGATCCCCGGTTTTTTTGGAAAGAAGGATGGTTGAAAAGAAGGGGGAATCAACCCCTAGAAGTATGGAAAAGACCCCGCGACTTGGATTCCCAATTCAAAAGAGTGGCACCGGGATGCATGCGCTGAGCTTATTCACCAGGAGTATCGGAGCCATGGTGCGGGAAAACGCAGGGTCAGCTCACCATTCAGATTCCGACCGGGGACCAACCCATTTTAGAAGGTTCTTTTGTTCTGGTGTGGTCCCAAAGGGTCCAAATGCCCGTTGAAGCTACACGCCGTGTTGCTTGCAGTGTGTTGCTTGCAGGTCAAAACCATGCCGGGGGGCAACCACTGAGCTGAGCACTGGTCCGGCGGGCAGGTGTTTGGACTTGTTCAAAAAGTTCCGTGGCACCTGGGTGCATCTTTTCCAGGGTTTTGTTGAGGTACAGGGAAGCCAAAAAGGAAAGCGTTGCGACTCATCCTTCTTTTTTCTTTGGGGGGGTGTAAGAAGAGTCACACCCACACATTTTCCCTATTTGGTGGGTGGCTCCTCAACTCAGAATTGTCAACCCCGAAAAGGGTTCTGGGCAACTGGGGGCAGATTGCGTCCCCCATGCGGAGCTTCTCAATATAGCAGGCCGCCTTGGTAAGGGGAAGCCGTTTGGGGATCGGTTTCAGTTTTTTTTTCCCCGCCCAAACGCGAGAAACTGGCAAGGGGGTTGTGAAATAGAAGCCGCTGAGGGACCTCCAGTCACAAATGATGAGCCAGTTCCATTCTTCATCTTTAGACCTGGCGTCACCATCGCTATTCTCACAACTCCGGCTCGCAAAAGCACCCCACCCAGCACCCACCCACCACCCACCCACCACACCCCACCCCACACCCAGCTTCCACAACCCCCTGACCAGTGAGAAGCTTTGTTGATCAGGGCGACTGGGAGCTCTGAATTCTGCATGCTGAACGCATAAAACCTCCGTGCTGCCAAAGGGTCACGGTCAATGCATGCAGGTGTTTTTCACTGCGTTTTGCTTGTACAGTGACATCATGTTTTTTGCAAGCAAGAATATGGAACTCCCGACGGAGTTTTCCACTTTGGCCAAGACTTCGACCCAGCGGGTTGCCTTTGGTAGAAAAGGACCCTTGGGTTTCAGTCCACGTCGGGGTCTAGATGAAACCGTTGGCCAAGGCTCCAAAACTCGTTTCCGGCGCTGCGCATCTCCGTCCGGTCTTTTTTAGCTCGGCTCCAGCGGTTGGCGGAAAAGTCAGGAGCCCTGCAGATCCCAGTTCCATTAAAGAAAAAGCACTGGAGAATCACTGAGAAGACTCAGCGGAACACACCTCTCATCCAGGGAAGACATGATCGTGCAGCCGCGAGTCACCGCCAGTTCCAAAAATCATCTTGGGTTACGGCAGTTTTGCTGCACATACAGCCCCAAGCTTACTTGGCTTCGCAAAGTGTGTTCCGCCCAATTCCACATGAGAACGGGACGTCACATTTAGAGGACCAAGTCCAAGGTTATTGGCATGGGCTTGAGCGACACCTCCCTGCGTGGGCGACCAGGCGATTGGGGATAGGCAGATCGGCAGGGGAAAAGGGTTGCGGGCGGAGTTTGCTTCTGGAGAGCACCCCGCACCCCGCACCCCACACCACCCCACACCACCCCACACCCCACACCACCCCACACCCCACACCCCACACCCCACACCCCACAGCGCCACACTCCTGTTGACTGAGGTCATGCGAGTTGGAGCCTGAGATGCAGACAGACTTTGGCTTCTGCTTTCACGAAGCGCCTGGAGCGCTGAGTCTTAGGTCTTTGTCGGGCTCCTCGTGCCGCTGGTGGCGAGTCAGAACCAGCTGAATGCCACAACGGTCTGTACATATCCCAGGCGGGGCATTTTTTTTCGTTTTTTACGGTTTCGCTGACTGAACGATTTATTTACATGGCTCGGGCTCAGAGAACAAGGAGCACCAAGTTGATCTCCAAAAATGTGCAGCTCACATCGCGAACCCTGCGAAGCCTGTTGAATCAAGCCCTCAAGCATCGAGTCCACCAAGATCCGTGCAGGTTCAAGTTGGAGCCCACGTGGCACTGCAGTGAGGGCTGGAGCCAGAAATCGGATTCGTTCAAAGTCCATGGAATCCATTTCCTGCGGATTTGCCACTCGGGTGCCTCTTTGAGCCCACTTTCTGCTCATGGTAGCTGGTTCATTTGTCGAATTTGAAATCGAAGAGGTTTTCCCCTGCCAGGACCTGCTCCACCTTCCTTTCGGACGACTTACCCTGCATGACGCTGGAGTATGCGCGGGTGCGGCCTGCGGAGGAGTTTCGAAATCTTGGCTCGTTGGTTGCTTGCTTGGTTGGGTGGTTGGCTGGTTGGCTGTTTGATTGATTCTTCGGGGTTTTTAGTTGGTTGGCTGGTTCATCAGTCGGGTGTTGTTTGTTCCGTCGGTTGTCCGGTCGATTGCTGTACTACCTTTTGGAGACGCTGACCGAAACAGTTGGCCGCCAGGTCTTCGATGTCGCCAGGAGGGAGGACTTCGGGGCATGGATGGTCCCGGTCATCGCTTCTGGCAATAGCAACCATTTGTGTGGGCAACGATCACCAATCAACAATTCACCTCTTGAAGGGTTTTCTCTTGAGCTGTTGGCCTTTTCAGATGGGCCCCTGAGCTAGGCACATTGGACTACTGCAACTCCTCTATTCGCCTGAAGATGGAACACCCAGCTTGTGTGCATGTTAGGACGTGTGCGCTCTGGTAACTCCAGCGCATGGCTATGATCCATCGTGCCCCATGGGATGTTGGTCCTGGTTTGTGCAACAGGGCCGGCGCTTGACATTGACATTCAGCGCACAAGCAACCCCCAGCGTCTAGGCATCAAATTTGTGCTTGCATTTTGCAGGATATTGTACTCTTGAGGGTAGATACATTGGTTTGGCTCATGCTATTCCTTGACCACCCCAGCTACCACTGCTTGCTCGGCTTGTCTTGCAGCGCCCTTGCCGACCGATGTTTGATGGCTCATTGACAAATCAGCTCAAATGCTGAGGTACATGGTCTCCCAGGGTGTTCTCAACACTCGCTGCATCGCCGACTGGCCGCTCGGTTGCTTTACGGCTTGGAGGGTAGTGCTCTCGTCGCGCAAGCTGGCAACCTTTGTCTCGTAGATTTGTTTTGGGGATGCTTGGGCTCGGAAATGGCCTCGAACACAAAGACTAAACAATGTTTGGGTCTTTGGGTGATGTGAGACGTATTGCGTGGCAGGCTGGGCCAGTTTTGCCGTGAGCATCAGGTTGAGGCAGAATGGTTTGCTCAAGATTGGCTTGCTCAGCTTACCTCCACTGAAAGCTTGAGTTATTGATCAGCGAACTAGCCCTGAGAAATCATCCACTCAAAGCCCTAAGCCCCATTGCCTTGTATTTTCCTCGGCGAGCTTCAGCCGGTTTGGCCTGGGGTGATTTGGTATCATTCTCCTGACATGTTTGACTTATCAGTTGACTTCAGAGCTTTGTTTGGATTCAGGATTTGCAAGATGGGTCTTGCTTGGCCATCTGGCAAGCGCGATTTCTCGATCCAAGGAGAGGGGATGGCCGTTGTGTCCAGGCCTCAGAGGCCTCAGGGCTTGGCCTTTTCAAAGGCCACATCCTTTGGGCACGCCCAAAAGTGTGCGCGCAGCTTCTGCATGTCATACAAGGTGAAGGCGAGGAATTGCATTTGGCATATATAGGGATGGTTTTCCGCATCCAAAGCATGGCAAGATTTGGGTGAACTTTTCATAGCTCGCGGTCAGCGGCCGCTGCTGTCGGTGGTACTTGTACCCAGGACTTGTCGAACAACCACGACAACGAAAACTGCCAGTACGATGGAGGAGAACGCTACTCTTGTTGAAGTATTGGCGTCTTTTTCTTGCCGTTTTTCTTTGGCGGCAGAAAAGGGCGACCTGAATCGGCGGGTTTTAATGGTTGCTAATGTGCAACTTAGCTTGACGATTCAAGTACATTGCAAGTACTGTGCTGTGCCGGGCACTGGCTTCTGCAAGGCTTGTGTCCGGGGCAGCCTTGAACCAACCAACAGGGGGACTTGCATTCAGCCTGTCAAATTCCAACCTGCTAATTGTTAGAGGCTTGCAGCCAACACCATGTAGAAAATTAGAGATGCAGCCGCATTTGGGACTGTAGCAGTCTTTCTACAGTGTTTTACCCCCGATTGAGTGGCCCCCCGATTGAAGACTGACAATTTTCCGGGCCACCTTGAGCCCAAACTACTTTGACGCCACCCACTGGATCACACGATTTTGCAAAATTACCCCCCAACTTCTTCGTTTGCCAGATGGGCACAATTTTTCAAGCGTAACACCTTCCAAAGGAGTTGGCGAGTGAGTAGATATCCCCATCCTTTCTGATGTCCACCAACAGGTCCAACCAATTCAAGCTCACAGCCAGATGACATGCTAGTTGTCGGCCAGGGACAGTGACCATAGCATCCCCAAAATGAATCGAGCAGACGCTCGAATTTTCATGGTAAATGGCTGAAACCTCTTGTGCAAGATGTTTAAAAAGCACCCAACCATTTGTTTTGGCACCCTATTTTGACAACCCCCCTCCATATCAAACTGTGTTTTTTTTGGTTCGATGCGGTCGGCTTCAGGAGACTGCTGCCTCTCAACCTGTCAAACAAGCTGCTTGGACCAAGAGCAAATTTGCTTTGCCTTGGGGCAAGTGGCGGCGTCGAATGGGTCCAGTGCTTTCACTTGAGCTTTACAGTCTGCAAAGGCCCAAGAAAGAATCACACAGCTTTACAGCTCGGCCATTTCGGCCCCAATGCTTAAGTCTACGACCCAAAGAGAAAAAACGGGTGAGGTGGTCCAAGCTTCGCTTGCTGGGCTCGTGATTCTTGGAACCCGCCTCCGCGTTTCGAACTCTCCGGTCTTGCGCCCAGACTGTGCTAACGAGCCGGACGTCTACGACAGGAACAGTGCGCAGTGCGAGTACTTCTGCGGGGAGGAGGCGAGGGCCAGGATTGGAGAGCCAATCAAAAGGCCCCCGAAAATGGGAACGCGATCTACCAGAAGTGTCTGCCATGAGATGTATGCGAATGGCCGGTGGTCAAACGCCGCTTTCGGGCTTCCCTGCGGCGAAAAACGCCGTGGGCGCCCCTTTTGCAGGCCCTGTACTGGTGCCTGGACGACGAAGCCGTGCTGTCGCCGGTGCGGCAGTGGTGTGCCTTTGGCACCATCCAGGCCGGACGCGGGCGCTCATTGCAAACGCTTCCCGTTTGGGAAGCAAAGGCCCAGGGCAATGCTCACATTGGGCCTCAAAAACTCCACGGCCATTTTGGGATAGGTGCACCACCCATTTTAGACCCTATTTTAGTGGTTGGATTGAATCAGATGTTCACTGGGGGTACGATTTGGGTTTTGACCCATGGCATGGCCCAAGCGCCATGTTGGGACGTGGATTTCAGGCGCAGTCCAGATGCTACCTCTCCAAGCTGGAGATCGCCGGCGCGCTCCAACAGTGCCTGGGCCCCAGGCCCACATCGGCCTAAGATGGGCGCTAGCAGATTGCCACCTATGACCCGTTGCAATGAATTGACCATGGATGTTTACGGTGATTAGCGTCCGGGTTTTCGAGATCGTGCTTATTATTGGGCTGCATGTTCTTTGTTTGTTGAGGTCTAAAGTGGTGTCTGCAGAATGCGGAAACCACGTTTAAGATGTCAATAAAGTGGGCAGCGACGGCGGAAGAGCTAAAACTTGATGTTACTGCCTCCGTGGGGTCTCTCAATACCCCGGAGAAAGTCTGCGGATTTGCTATGTTATGAAGGCTGAGGTTTCTACTCTTGCATAGACTTTCCGAAAGGCACACAAGTTCTTGCAGTTTACGGCTGCAGACCTATCCTTCAGTGGGCCCTGAAATTTGATTTGCGCCTTCACCATGTAGAGCATTCCAACAGCCGGTGCTGAGAAGCAACAACACCTTTGGCAAGTCATATCTTATTGTTGCCATTGGGGCCTCCTGCACTTTCCAGCTTGACGAGGTATTTTAGACGACCGAGTGCATGGCAACGCCATAAATGCCGGCCGGGCGCACAGCAGCCCAGATGCAGTGCCTCGAACACATGGGGGCAAACATGACAGACCGCGTAAGCCCTGCATGTCTCAGAATTCACCAAGACGGGGTGCTGCTCTGCAGACCTGGGCGCGTTTATTTTTTTCCGGCATTTGTGTTGCGATGCGTTTGTTAGGTCCACAATGTGGTAACCAGACGCTGACCTGCACCATGCAGGAGAGGGTGATGCCAAGACATGACCAAGTGTGACGCCAAGATGGAACCCATGGAGGTGTGTGCTGATGTGGAAAGCCCTCCAAATTGGTGGACGCAAATGATGCACACGATGCCCACAAAAGGGTCCCCAATTGAGATTCTATCCTCACCGAGCCCATGGCAATTTGCGCGCCTGGGTAACAGGATGTGGAAGCGGAGAATGGCTGCCACCTCACCAAGGACGGGATTTGGAAGCGAGAAAGGCAGAGTTGCCGAGCGGGCTTTTGCAAGAGCTTGGATTGATAGAGTCCTCTGACACAGTGCAGACGAATCCTTTGTTCACTGCTTTGTTCTTGCGTTTGCTCAGACGATTCCCCATTTGGACATAGGACACTTTAGCCCGGGCCACTGTCGATGCGTTACATGTGCAGGACGACTGCTTCACGCGCATGTGTTGCGCGGAAGCTATCGAAAATGGCTTCATTGAACAGAATCCAGAGGCCATGACGGCCGTGAGGGGTCGTTGGGGGCGCCGGTTAAAGCTCCCTCATTCTTACATGGAGCGCCGTGTGATTACAAGGACGGTGTGTGTCCAGCTCTGGATTTGCATTCCTTTTCGCTTCATGTATCGGCCCTTCACGCTCACGCAAAAGAACCCGCCCGCTCAAGACGTTGGACAAAAAAAACCCAAGGGCACTGGCTACCCCCCAGAACTCATAGCTGTTCGGACGTGTAGGTCTTGCCGTCGCTGACGGCGCTATACGACCTGCGCCTTGGCCGTTGACGGGTTGCAGCTGGCTCCGAGCTTTGGGCATGGAGCGACTTCTCGCAATGGATTCACTGAGAGACGGCTTTCATCAGCCAGGAAGCGGTGTAGTTGCTTTGGAGAAGCTGCTGCTGATTGTAAGTTGCACAACGACCCAGCAAAGTGTGCACTTTGCTGCCGCCGCTGGCGGCTGCACATCATGTTGCATTTGTTCATTGTGCAATGCTACTCGTTTGTTTGTTTGTTCGTTTGTTTGGCTGGCTGGGCTGGCTGGCTAGCTGGCTGGCTTGCTGGCTTGCTAGCTTGCTGGCTTGCTGGCTTGCTGGCTTGCTTGCTTGCTTGCTTCGCTGTGTGTTTCCTGCGTGCGTGTGCATGTGGTTGTCGCTGTTGCTCTTACAATGCTGTTATTGCTGATGGTTCGCTACTGGCTGCTGCTTGTTGCTCGCGTGTGTTGAAATGCATCTCGTTCAGTGATTCAGCCTACTTTTTAAACATTTAGCGGTGCGTGCGTCCGTCCGTGCGTGCGTGCGTGCGTGCGTGCGTGCGTGCGTGCGTGCGTGCGTGCGTGCGTGCGTGCGTGCGTGCGTGCGTGCGTGCGTGCGTGCGTGCGTGCGTGCGTGTGTGTGTGTGTGTGTGTGTGTGTGTGTGTGTGTGTGTGTGTGTGTGAACCGTCCTGGAACACGGACGTTAAGCAGGGGGACCAGGCGTCTTGCTGCTGACCTGGTCTAACAAAGCTAGGCAGCAAGACGGGATACCGGAATTGGCCATTCCGGCGTACCTGCCATCCTTTCGTGACCTAATTTGCACTGCAGATTGATTTTTTCATGCCCTTTCAGTACAATCGCGTGTCTGCAAGAGCAGCCTCTCGAGATAAGTGTGTTTACCCACGGCCTGTCCGACATGGCGCTGTGGGCTGGACTCGCCACATGCGGGAGCCCCCTGCGAGGGGAAGACCGTTCATACGTTCAAATTCAACCTGCCGTTCAGCGCGTTTGACCACGATCAAGGCTGCAGCTTGAGGTCTTAAGGTATTCCGCACCCAAATGGTGCTCTGCTGGTTTCATGCGCGTTGCACTGCCTGCACTGCCTGCCTTTGAAGCAAGGCTGCACCCACGAGGTTTTAGGTTCCTAAGCTTCATGCGCCAGTGACGAGTTGGTCATACACCAACTCTGCAATTCGTGGTGTTTATGGAAGCTTTCGTCTCGGATGAGTTCAGTTCAGATTCAAGTTCAGATTCATCGGCATAGCCACATGAGGCACTTTCATGAGGCCACTTGACAGGCACCTCTGAGAACCCCTTTGTGCTCGCATGCATTTGCACCATTGACGCCTTGCGAAACCTTTTTCCGTTGCCGCGGGGTTTTTTGTCGGTCCCCCGGTGGAATTCCCTCGGTTTGGTTTTGTGCGCTCGGGTTTTTCGTCCTTGAAAATGTTTTGCTGTTGCCGGGGGTTTTTGGAGGTCCCCTGGTGGAATTCCCTCTGCTTGGTTTTGTGCGCCCGGTTTTTTGTCCTTGAAATTCTTTTGCTGTTGCCGCGGGGTTTTTGGCGGCCCCCTGGTGGAATTCCCTCTGTGTGGTTCGTGTCCGCCCCGCCGGGGCCTTGTGTGTGTGAACCGTCCTGGAACACGGACGTTAAGCAGGGGGACCAGGCGTCTTGCTGCTGACCTGGTCTAACAAAGCTAGGCAGCAAGACGGGATACCGGAATTGGCCATTCCGGCGTACCTGCCATCCTTTCGTGACCTAATTTGCACTGCAGATTGATTTTTTCATGCCCTTTCAGTACAATCGCGTGTCTGCAAGAGCAGCCTCTCGAGATAAGTGTGTGTGTGTGTGTGTGTGTGTGTGTGTGTGTGTGTGTGTGTGTGTGTGTGTCTGTCCCTGACACTTCGCCACTGCCGCGCTGCCTTTATGTATGCTCTTAGGCCAACAGCCTGCGCATATTATGTGTATAACATGCACAGTGACAAATATGTAGGTATATTTATATATATATATACATATATATATATATATGTGCTTGAGTGCAACGGGTTTGAGGTTCGGAGAGTTGAGGGAGCCGCTGAGGTGCGAGACTCGTAAAACGGATAATGACGAGCCCTGCTTCCCATTCATGGTGAAGTGCCTCCAGGAGTGGTGGATCAGGGACCAGCTGTGCACGTTGGAGTCTCTTCAAGACATCATGAAACTGATCAGACACTTGCAGCTTCTCAGAGATGATGCATATATTCTTTGTAGGTGGCTGGACGGTTGTCATATTGTGAGTGATATGATGCCCGCACACGCGACTTGGCTGCTGTAGCCTTTGGCAGCCTAGCATGACAGGGTTTGGCATTGAGGTCCTTTAGCCCGCTAGCCCTGCAGAGCGTCCTTCCACCCATGCGTTGCCCCCAAGTCGAGACAAAATGCAGTGAACAAGCAGACTCCGTGTTGGATGTCCCGTCTGTTGAATTTGCACGTGGGGAAGCGGCACCAGAATTTGAGTATTTTCTGCGACGGGAAGCCGTATGAGTGCCGCCTCGCACGTCTGCAACTCGCGGTTCCGAGGAATGCAAGCTATGAGTGCATGCTTTTGGGGTTCCCCTACGGTCCTGATGTTTTTGCGCCTCCTTTGACTGCGCGTGCAGCTTGTGCAGGTGACTTCCCTTTTTGAGGCTTGGGGGGGTTGATGCCATGGCGATAGTGCTGTCTCACCCCGAAGTCAATCGGAGGGTTTGCCTTTCGTGACTAGTCCGCCCCAGGTGTTGAATCCACTACAGGATGTGACAAAGCAAAACCTGTTTGAGGCCTGCAGTTTTGTACGTTGCCTTGATTGCAGAACCAAACTCAGGAGCCTCACAGGAAGGCACTCTTTGATTGCGAAACCGCGCAGCTGATGAGGGGTTAGTCGATCCAGCATGCGTCGCAGCGGCGCAGGAGACGCGCGCCGCCAAAGGCCGGTTGGGCGGGCAGCGGCGTTCCCCGGGGCCGAACATGATGTTTGGGCAAAACTTGACGAGCACACAGGTGGGTAAACGAGCCTACTCATGAAAGCAGATGTTGGAAGGCTGGCTCCAACCTCTTTGGATTGGCTCTTGCGGCGAGCTTTGACTATTTGGCTTCTGTCCAAGTGCGGCGAGCTTTGACTATTTGGCTTCTGTCCAAGGCGTTTGGGGGTAGATGGGGGTCCATGGATCGCCGAGGGGGAAATGGTTCCAGGGTATTTAGCGAACATGAACATGAAGCAATGAGGCCAGATGAGGAATCAAGCATCCAGGCACCCTTCACGTTGGTCAATTGCCACAAGCAACCCCTTCGAGACTTGCAATATGTGTGTCTGTGTAAATCAATCACTTGCTCCGATAGACATCCATCTCATATATATACGTGCATATATATATATATATATTGGACATAAACGCTTCAGTTGCTTGTGTCGCCGGCGGATCGCACTCACCTGGCAAGGCGGCTGCTGCTCCTGCGAGCCAGGCGGGGTGGGATTGGCCAGGCTTTCGGCGGCAGCTTGATGTTTGGTTTATGATTCCGGGTTCTGATGGCAGTTTGTTCCGGCTTCCTCCAGCGACACGGGGCGTGTCGCTGCGCAGCGAGTGCCGAGCGGCACTCGCTGCTACGAGTCAATGGCAAAACACTAGGACGCGAACTGCTTTGTGGTTCCCAACCGGCAACTGTTTCGGTGCCCACAGTCGAGCTTTAGATCTGCAGGTCTGGATGTTAAGCAGTTGGAAATCACGGGTAATTATGAACAATTCACTGATTGCTAACTGAACTGAGTCCATTTGTAGTTGAACACTATTCACTACTAACAATTACTGAACACCAACAATACAAGAAGATTTACTAACAATTCACTGAACACTAGTAGTTGACTTCTAGTCCATCTGAATGAGTCAACAGAAATTAGCCTCTGGGTGCCTGACCGCGCCGGCGCGCTGTGGCGATTCAAGCAGCGTGAGAGCGACTGGTGGACGCCCGCAGCCCTGTTCGGCTATGCAATGCAACCGGGTGCACCCAAGCAGCACACGAGAGACGACGCTACTTGTTCAAAAGTGAAGTTGCTTGCTCCCTTTGCGTGCTCCTTGGTCATGAAGACTCATCCAGGTTTGCGCATGTGTCATTCGCCCTTTCCGACAGCCACGCGAGCGCATGGTGAAGCACGTGGCCCGGAATGGAGTTCCCCGAAGTGGTGCGCATGGTGAAGGAGACGGCCAAGATGGATCTGAAGACCGCCTGTGAGGCCAAGCGCTTGGCTGTTCGGCCGTTGCCGGTTCTTTCGAGGCAAAAGTGCACGATTGTTTTGGAGCCTTTCAAGCGGAGCTCAATTGCAAGGTTGCTCAGAAGAAACACCTATTGCGGAAGATGTCAGATAGCCCCGCACACAGCAAAGACATCCGTAGGGATTTCTGCATTTTCAAGTAGTCTACATCGTCAAATGCTCTTTGGAAGCGTGTTGCCGGTGCAAGCAAGCAGTTAAAACTGCTGGTTGCCCCAGTTGCCAAACACAAATAACCGCACGTCGCTCAGATGGGCCGCCTGGCAGACGTGAAGTACCTCATTGAGGGCGGCCACATCGATGTGAACGAGCCCGAGATCGACGGCCCGAGCGGGGCCGGAGCCACCGCGGTGATCGAAGCCGCCGCAGCAAACCACCTGGAGGTGGGGGTGTGGGGGCCGGGCCACGCGCATTGGGCCAAGACCCGGGTGAGAATGGAAGGCGGGCCCCAAAGCCGACCTGGCCCTTTGCAAGGGGAGTCTTACGCAAGCCTCTCCAAAGTCCCAACCTTTCGTGCTTTTCTCCCTCGCACGTGGTGGGCTGCGTTGCCGCTTTCTCCTTCCGCAATCCGAGAGGTGGTCAAGTACTTGGTCAGCCGCCGCGCGGACCTCACAATGACCACCCGCGACGACAATGCCTCAGTCATGGACTATGCCATGGGCGAGGCAGGCAAACGAGTCCTAGCCTTGATGGTAATCCAAAAGATGTGGTAGTTCGAGCGGGGCCAAACAGCGAGCAGTACATGTGCGAAGTCAGGCTGAACACCATGTGACGTCCTGAACACGGCGTTTCTCCGGATAGAAAATCATTTGGAAACAGTGCCGTGGTTGCCATTGGACGGTAGATGTCTCGGCGCGGATCTTTTCTGGCATTGCTCGTGAGCCATTGAAGCGGAACGCCTTTACCAAGACGCTTGTGCTTATGCAACCCTGTGGCAATTTGTCTAGACGACCATGAGGCATGTTCCCGTGTTTCTGTTAAAGGACCCCTGCCCATCACCTGCGCAAAGCGCAAGCTTCAACCGTATTTCACTTGTTCCACCCTTTTGTACTCATGAGTTATGAATTAGTTGAACGTCAAGCGACTCGTACAAGCAGCATCAGCTGCAATAGACATCTCATCAGGCAGCGTGAAACATAAATGGTACAATTTCTCATGATATGATTATCACATGTCCGGGAGTGAACATAATCTTGGCATAGTCTGACATGCTCACTTGTTACATTGATTTCAATACGTCAAGCCAGGACACCACACCTTTCGACCCCCAATATGGTTGCCGCCAGGTGGTTGCCGCCAGGTGGTTTTCTGTTTGACTCGGACTCAAAACCGGTCCAGGTTGCTTTGACACATTCCGGTCCATTTAGGCGGCCTGCATAATTGCCACCTCAATGTGAAAAGGCCACAAGCAGGCCGGAGCAGAATCGGCGCGAGTCCGCTATGCATTTCCACATCGCGCCAGGAAGTTTATCTGAGTATTGGAACAAATCGATGTGTGGGCATATCGGAGTTTTTGGGACAACGAGCAAGAACTTTGGAATACTTTGGCCATTGACTCAAGATTTCCGGGAGGATGTTGCTTTCTCACTTGTGCGAATTCCACGGGTGCAGCCACCGCAAAGATCTTTGTTTCCAGAAGCAAGCACATATGTTTGAGGAAGTAGCACATATATATATATATATATATGTGTGCATACACACATTGACATGTATTCCTGAACAAAGGGCACTCTTCATAATTCTGTCTCGTGCGTCTCAGGTCAAGGCCTTTTTGGAGGACGAGGCCGCGGTGGCCGCGGCGGTGCGCTCCGGGGAGGCGGCGCTGCAGGCGGCGGCCGCGGCGCGGCGCGGCGCGGCGCAGGCGCAGGCGGCGCCCTTCGTGGAGGAGGCCACCACGGAGCTGCGGCAGGAGCCTTCGGCCGCGTCGCATGTGAGAAGGTCAAAACCGTAGGGGATCCCGTGTTGGTTTCGGATTGGTGAATTTTTAGCACCCATTTTAGTCGGGATTTTGGTGGTCGGATTGAATCGGATGTTCACTGGGGGTACGGGATTTTGACCCATGGCCATAAGACTTGCAACCATGGGAGCATAGGCCCAGCCTGGTATTAGTGCCAAGGCCCATGGAATTTTCTTGGGAACACGGCCAAAGTTCATACGTGGCTGATTGGGTCAGAGTAACACCGCCTTGGATATGGACCGCAGGTTTTAGTCATGATTTACCTAGGGCAACCCATTTTGGGGTTGCCCTGGTTTTGACCCACATCCAAGTGGTCCCCATAGCTGGTGTGGAAAGGGAAGGACCCTTGAAGACACTATGTTCCAACTGAAATGAGTTTGGATCAACCACTGCAGATCCATTGTAGGGGATAGGGCATGGCTCTGCCAGGCACTGCGGTCTTTCCGATTTCCGAGAACGGGAATTTGCTTTACAATATGGTTGGTTCGTCACACCCTGCAAAGGCGGGCCAGTTTTGGGCACACCACATGACAGCCACAAATGGCTTTTGTGCCTCGTAAACAAAGAGAAACCGTTTTCGCATACTTGTGATATACCAGTCGCTTAATAGGCATGCGCTGACGCTATGATGACGCTTGAACAACATATGACCACTAATGTAATAGTATATGATCAGACCAGTATGGACTTTACCTAATGTTCAGGTTTGACATGACAACTATCTAGACTTGTGACTATCTGGAATGGTCAGTCACACCCGTATTTACATATGGAGAACATGCAATTTGTCCAACGAAGCCTTTGTCTGTATTGGTCATACCAGAATCGAGTTTCTTGCAGTGGTAAGACTTGCAACCATAGGAGCATCATAGGGTTGCAACGATTGAGGCGAACAAAGCGGAACAGGATCATCGCCCCATTTGAACATTTATACCCACTCTTTGTGATGCCACATGTTTTACAGTTTTGACACTCAATGGTAACAGTGTACATTAGGCCCGAAATAGTGGCCTTTTAATCAGCCCCATTGGGATTGGGCCAGGGCCTTTCTTGGGGAGTTCTTTCGTAATCTGAGTGGGGGCGAGGGGGAGAAGACACAGCGCAGCTCACCATCCGCTTCCTTTCTGGCTTGGGAGCTGTGTGCGCTTCTTATGAGGGCCTCTTTTGGTACCAGATTTCAGATGCTCCGGCCTCGAGATAGTCCAGAGAAGACTTTCATGGGATGAATGCAAATCGAGTGAAACGTGATTTAGATGCGTAACCATTAAACTGCAGAGGTTCCAGGCTCATATGTCACGTACAATGCTGTTCAGGGGTCCGGAGGTTTTGCGACCGTCACCTTGTTGCCCCTGTACAGTGGGTGTTTCAATGGTGTTGTTTAGTCAGCGGGGGGCATTTGAATTTGAGCAATGGACAATATTTCTGGGTATTGAACGGTTTTGGGAAAGCATGCTGATGGCTATCGGTTTTGGGTGCTACTTCGGTATTGAGATCATATGGTCGGATATTCATATAGGGCGCCCTCGGTCAGTCCATTTCAGAAGCGCGGAGCCTGTTGGCGTGGTCCCCTGGGTACCATTCTTGCGCCTTTTGCACGACTTGAGAATGATCAAGCTTGCCACGATATGAACAACTGGTAACTCCCAAGCTTGGCTCCGACCGTGTCCAGAACAGGCTTCCTTTCGTCAGGCGAAGCTGCACGGTCGCTGAGTACCTCGCCCTCGAAGGTCAGTCGCCCTCGCCATCGAAGGAGGGCGCCGAAAGGCCCATGGAGCCAATGGATCCAGCAGCAGGGCATCGAACGGAGGGAGATGTGCTTTACCGGTGCTGTCAAGGATCAGAGGACGTGGGCCAATGGAAGGAGAAGCTGGCAAAATGGAAAAGACCGGTGGTGACAGGGGTGTGTGGGTTGACAACCACGCAGCTTGTTTTTTTGGCAACTCCAACATCAGATGCCATCTTATCTTTCTCTGAGCGCTTCTCTTGCAGGGCCGATCACTTGTTGGCACACTGCTGGTTGCCCAGCCTGTCATAATATTCTGATTCACCTCCGCGAATGCTGGAAAGACGACCAAAACGTGCTACTGGTTCTGCCTCGTGGGCTTCCTTATTTCTGGTTTGCACTTTTCTCAAGGGCTGCTGGACAGACATCCAGCGGGGCATGCAGGAAATGCATGCAGGATTGCAACAGGTTTGGCATCAGCCCAGCAACAACCCCCCCCTCCCCCCACCTTTGGGACACATCGCAATTCTGCTCAAACAGACGTCACTTGCCCACGTCCACTTGCCCGGCTCATCCATTGTTTCAGTATCCCCGCGTGACAGGCTGGGGCGGCTGGCGCTGCCGGTGGCCGCTCTGCTGGCCCAAGTGCGTGCATGGCACGTGCGTGGCCCCGGACCTGTGCCACTGCGAGCCAGGCGTGGATGGCTACCGTAGCTACGCGGCTACCCGCTGATGGCATTAGGTAATTAGGTCCTGGCCTTTTGTTTGTTGACAGGATAAAGGCAGTTTGTGAGTGAGAGGTATCCACCCTTGTCCTACTGTGTTACAGGCTCTGTGGGAGATGATTGATTACCTTATAATTGGTCTTTGACAGAAGCATTCCGAGTGGCGGTAAGATCAAGCCTCGTTGTCCAAGCTCAAGGGGAGCAGCTCATGACTGAAGAGCCGCAAACGACTACTTTGCTTGTTGCAAGGACTTTACGACTGCTAGGTCCCACTAGACTTATAACTTATGAGATTTGGTTGGTCGCATGGCTTGCCTGTAATGAACACCCCCTGTTAATAAACCCCTGCTTCTTATTTTGGGGGTGTCCCTGGTTTTAGTGGGGATTGTTCATTTTTGGCTGGGAACACCTATTAATTTAATCTGGGGTTGATGAATGGGGGGTCAACATGGCCTTGAGTCTCCGGTTCACTCCTGGTCTATGGTCGCTGGTGCCTGAAACGGTCAGGCTGGAAGGGCGCGGCCTGCGATCACGCGGTCTGCACGCCCGAGTGCATCCCTGGGCCCGGAAGCCAAGCGCCGCTTAACCATGGAGGTGTTGCAAAACGCGACCAATGTCATTCCAGAGGTAAATTGGGCCACCCATGTCGGTAGGAGGACAAAAAAAATCCTCTTGCCCCATCAGTTGCAGTAGAGTTGTTCCTGCCAACTTGTTGTTCTTCCCGCCTGATTGCTTGCAAAGAGCAGCTTGCTTGTTCATGTGAATCTGCTTCAGGCCACACCAGATCACGGAAGTTCCTCTCTAAGTACAGAACTGAACCATGTTCGCACAATTTGTTTGATTGGTACAGCTACGCTGAAGTTTATAATATATATATATATATATATGTATTCCCCCCCTTGAAATACTCACGTTTTTGTCCAGAACTCAAGTTTGGCCAGACTGGGGGATGACTGGTTGGACTCTGAACTGAGCTGATAGGACGTGCAACTCCATGCAAAGTCAAACCAAGCAGAAGTTTAGTTCAACGTTCAAAAGGAGCTCCTAGTTAAACAGCTCGAACGCGAGGTGCACTAAAAGTGACGTTGGAGTCTGCGAAGTGCACTTTGGCAGCTCCAGCTCAAAAAGCACAACTTTCAGCACAAGAGTAGTACGCAAAGCATGCTTTGGCAGCTTCATCGTGCCTGTAAAGCTGTTTGGGTTTATTACTTCTATTCTTGGCAAATCATCCACTTGGGGGAAAGGAACTCAATCCTACTTGCAACTGACATCCAATACAAAATAACAGTGCTTCATGTCCTTGCGCAGTTGTACTTACATGTTAGTTCGTTTTTTTGTACATAAGTCCATAAACATCCTAACTAAGTGTATGTAAACCAAACTTGCAAAGCAGCTATCTCAGTTGTGCGTTACTTGTCTAATACGATTCAGCCACTGTCAAGAACAACTATTGAAATTCAAGTATAGGAAGAATTTGAAAGCTAAAATGCTTTCGAGTTCAAGCCAAACTCAACTTTAACCGGTTGCATTTTTGGTGCGATTCAAAAGTCAATTGGAGAACGCAGCCATTGTCATGGCCAATTAAAACTGAAATCAAGACAACTTTCGTAAGGGTTATTGTCCTTATCTAACTTATGTCGTTTTAACCAAGCAAGAACTGAGCCAAATCAACAACAGAAAAGTGTTTGCACACATAGATCTTATTCTTGGCATTAAATGCAGTAAAGCGTGGTTTTTTCAGCATTCGCTCAGCTCATGTTGCCCTGGATCGAAGGCCAACTGTTCAAGATTCCACAGACATCGTTTTAGAGCATCCTCAATCCTGGCCCTCAAAAAGCTTGACAATTTTGCTAGACTTTTTCCACCTGCATTGAAGATTGAAGATCTCCAGATTTTGTTTTTTGAGAACCGTCCATCCTGGCCAGCCCTCAAGTCCCACAAAAGCCGTAAACAGTTCAAACACATGTTTGCCTTTTTGGCAAAATGCAGGCGGTGCCCACGATCGGACTCTTGAAAAGTGCTCTGCTTGTCCGCCTTTTTAGATGCCATACTTGGGCAATCAGGATCTGCTTTCACATCTTGGGTTGAAGATTGACGAGTGAAGATTCTTTGACAACTCTTTCTGGGATTCTTCAAATATGTGCTTGGGGCAATCAAAGATGTGCTAGCACGTGCTAGCACATCCTGGATTGAAGGTTAAAGTGATTAAATATTGAAGATTAACAGAAAGCTTGTCTGGAATTCAAATCCATACTTAGGGCAAGCTGATATGTTCTGGACGTGCTAGCACATCCTGGATTGAAGGTTGAAGATTGAAGAATCCCAGAAAGAGTTGCGAAATATTCTTCAATCTTCAATCTTTAATCCAGGACGTGCTAACACGTGCTGGCACATCCTGGATTCTCCCAAGTATAGATTTGAAGAATCTCAGCAAGAGTTGTCAGATACTCTTCAATCTTGGATCTTCAATCCAGGATATGCTAGCACATGCTAGCACATCCTGGACTGCACTAAGTACTGATGCTGTAATTTGGGTCTTAAAAAGAGTGCATTTTTGAGCATCATTTTTAGAAGCTGAACAGTGCATTTCGCATGCATTTTTACAGCAACCATGTCAATGTTTGACCGAAAACCTGAGTATTCTGGGGGGGGGGGGTACCATATATATATATAATCAGGGATTCGTCTTGTCTCTTGCCTTAGAATTCTGACGACAAGGTTTGTAGGCACTGCAATCACTTTCTACATGCTGTGTTGATTCTGGCTTCAGTGGAAATCGACCATGTGGCAGTTGCCACTTAAATTGACCCTGCATGCCTTGTTGATGCTATCTCAGGACCACAAATTCTCAAACACAAGGAACCAAGTAGCTGCGTAACTCTTTCTCCAGCCTCATGTACCTGCGTCAGGCAAGGCACTTGCGTGCTACCCGACACCTGCGAGTGCTTCTACGGTTGGGGAGGCCACTGGGCGCTGGGGAGACGGATTGAATGCGGGGGATTCATCAGCGCCCGCGTGCGGAAAGAGCCACCAACGTCTAGCCATGCTTTTTTGCTTGCAACTTTCCTTTCCAACGTCATCCATCGGGCTAAGAGATACTCTTGTTTGTGTAGGTTTTCCATTAAATTTCACAGTGCGTGGAACTTTGTAGACCCTGGCAGTATTCAAGCGGAGTCCTCTCCAATTATTTGCAGGTCAAATATGTTTTTGGTACATGCTTGTGACATGCCTAGCCGGGTTTCGCTGCAGGGCAAGCCATAGTGTGATCATGTGTAAAGGGCACCTTTTGTAAAGGCCACTCTTGACACTCACCGATTGGAACACCCACGTCCAGTTCTGCTGAAAGGGGCAGTGTACTTAGTACAGGGTTAGCAATAACAATGGTTGTAGCCTGCTTGGGGGGATCAAATCCATGGGAAACTTGTGTGTTAGAATCATGATTACCAAGCACATACCCGACATGGACATATTCCTGGACATGTCCCTAGGGGCTTTGCGGCTCAGCTTGTTTCAATCCGGAAATCCGGAGGCGCCTCCTGTGAGTTGCCCATCTCCGAGCCCGCCTGCGTGAACGGGGACGCCCGAGAACCGAGTCGGTTGGTCCAGTGGTGGGTCAAAAATATGTACCCAATCCTGGTAAATGGAAACATGTATCAACACCTGCGGTCCCGTGATTTAATTTTGACCCATACCCAGCTCGGATCCCTCGGCCGCAGGACTGCAGACACCAGGCTGAGATTTTAAGGCCAATACGATCGGTGGGCTTTGAGCGGATTTCTGTGTGGGTATGTGCCATTCTTCGAAGGCGCATGCAGCAAGCCGGTTCGTATGTTGCAGCATAGATCTTTTCATGACAGGCCATGGTTGCAGTTCAATGATGTACACCTTCCTACCACAGACTCCACTACTCCAATACATTTAGTTGTCCCGTGAAAGGAACCCAGATTCTCATCATCCACGTCTTTGTGCGATGGGCACTCGATTTCCGAGGCGGTGGCGCCGGACATTTGCCGCTGCGCGGAGGGCTGGGGCGGGCGTCTTTGCGCCCCGGCCGAAGTTGCAGCCGGGGAGGGGGGCGGAGGGCGAGGCCATTCGGACGGGACGTGTGATGCGTCAATATGAGTCGGACCCCTTGTCCTACTCTGGGTCTCTGGTTTTCACACACACACACGAATATTTGTGCAGCTTGGTGGGGTTCCCGCCAGAAACAGGAAATGTGGGTTGCCCATGAGAGTCTTATTTTGGCAGGGGGCACTGTCAATTTCGACGGGGGAAATCCACATTGAGAGTAAACTCGCAATTTGGTGCACACTCCCAAAACCAAGTGTGGTGTTTGACATGGCGGCCAGGTGAACAAGTGATAACAAGTGGCCATGCCTTGGTCTTTTTTTCTTCTTTTTCTGGTCCACAACTTGAGGTTGCATCGCGTTGAGACCTGCACCTGGAGATCCTTGGACATGTCCTGGATGTAAACTTAGATCAGTCTTTTTCAAGTCTCGAACTGCGTAGTCCGAGCCATGACCAAACCTGCTCATTGCGCAACGTGAGGAGGTCTGACATTTTCACGCTGGCAGCTGCCACCTTCTCTTTCCCCCAGAGAGGAGAGCTCCCTCGCCGTTGATCCGCCCGGAACATTCCTCTCCATATATGTCCTTTTTGGTTGTTTTGGTGGAACAAATAATGATGGCGATTCCTGGTTTACCTGGTGGTTTAATCATCTACCAGGGAAACCCATCTATTTGCCCTAAAATTGGACACCTAAGATAATCATCACTAAGACAAGGACGAAGACAAACCCTTCCCATTCGCCTCCCCTTTGGAGAAAGGGGTCGGCGGATTTGCCCTAAAAGGACACCTATTGTGATTAGCCATGGTTTATTTCATCACCAGGGATGTCGCGGTAGTGACTGACCTGTGGTGTTTGGCTCAAGATTTTGGGTTCCGTCGCGCCTCGAATGGGCGTCGCCGAACCCCTGCGTCGACCGACGGCATCTCGGGGGAGAAAGAGACCTCGGGCCGCCGCCAGGTTGGTAGGGACCAGTCGTGCGGCCTGTTGTCGACCAAGGTTGCGGGTTAACCCTTTTCTTGTTTGGTTTGTTTTCCTTTGGTTGTTGTTCTCTGGTGTGTGGGAAACCCTGATCTTTGGGACCGGGGATTGGTTTGCTTTTGGGGAACCTTTCTTTTGTGGCTTGTTTACCCCAACTAACCCATTGCCTGGGCACAGGCTCGTGCCCGAATCACAGGTTATCAGCCGTAGGACTTTCCTACGCGCTGAGACCATCAACTACAAGCTCAATGACGTCGACCCCACGTTCGCACAGGAGCGTCGTGGATGAGGAGGCCATCCTAGGTGGCCTCCGCTCAAGTGAGGACCTACCGGACTATGACTACGAGGAATTCGAGACAGGTTCAGCAGGTCAGGACCGCAGGGGTGACATCAGCATGGCGATGAACATGGCTCGTCCTCACACGGACGATCAGGAGGCTCTGCCTAATCGACCCCCTAGGTCTCTTTTTCCAGGTGAAACGCAAGCCTCGGATCAGGTTGAGGACAGACCGTTAGGTCCGGGAACCATGGTTTTGGCTCCGAGAGATATCTCGGGTCGATCAACAGGTTCTCAAAATCCAGGTCAGTTTGATGAGCAAGAGGAGAGGGCGTTTGCGGGCATCGGATACGATGCCCTGCTGGCGTCGACCGCAGGTTGGGGCAGTAGCGTGAAGCAAGAGTCTGATACTAATAGGCCCAACCCGGTTTCGACGACCAATTTTGAGTTCAATGATGATGAAGATTATGCCGCATTTGCGGATCGTCGTGAAGAGGAAGAAAGTTTGTCGTATCGGAATGCAAGGAGCCGTGCTGCTGCGAAGGCTAGGAGTCTCTCTCGTGGAGCTGCTAGGGACCTTCGTGTGGACACGGATACTCGGAGTGCAAGAGAGCGGATCGGGGACAGTCGGGGCACCCTTAGGGGTTTGGAGGCCATCCATGACGGAAGAGGACCGGTAGGTCCTCCCGTCATTGATCCCGTCCCAAATGTTCCCCCTTTTCCCAACATCCAGTTTGGAGGACCGCTGCATCAGAGAGTCGGGGATATGAACCGGGGTACTGGTTCATCCAGGATTACTCAGCGAGCCGCCGATGTGGTTGAGGCAGGCGCGAGGGACGGAAGACTTGCTAGTGCGCTTGGAATCGAGGATCGTCCGCCGATCGCTAGCCCGTTAGGGCGAGATCTCAGCGACCTCGAGCCACTAAGGTCTAGCAATGAGTTCACTCCCCAATGGGGATCAGCAAGCAGGGAACGAAGTGCCTCTGCGAAGAGGCCGTCATCCGTAGCCGGAGGGACCGATAGGTCGAAGGCGAGGAGGGCTAGCCCTGGACCGATAGGTTCAACGCCGCAGGATGAAGACATGTTTGATCCTGCTGATGTTCATATTCATTCCACTCCTGAATCTCATGGGTCGAATGTCAATCCCAGATCCGGCGATAGCCGGGGAAGGGGTATCAGTCCAATCAGGCCGCCCAGGATCGCTGATGCTCCTGTTTCCGACCCCAGGGGACGTAACAGAGTTGAAAGGGTTCCTGAGAGGATCGAGATATCGACTCCTCCAGCTCTGAGATCCCATTCTTCTGCTGAATCTGGAGATGCTAGGGTCAAGGAAGTATTTGACCTGCATATCCAGGAGCTGTTTGAACGAGGCGAGGCATCCGGTTCCGTTGCAAACACTCTCAATGCTTTTGCTAATCAGATCAGGTTACTGAACGGTCAGGTGAGTTCCATGCAAAAGGATGGCAAAATGAGAATCGGCTCATGAAGGACAAGGTCGGCCGTCTAGCTACCGAGGTTGCGACCCAAGCGGATGCTGATCGTATGCGAATGATTGTTCAACGGTTTGCCGGTGAGGTCATTCCCGATAGCAGGGCCATTGTCAGGCAGGCTATCGATGAGCAAAGTGAGGTTGTGGATCAGAGGATCAACTCGTTATCCGACGAGGTTCGGGAATCCGTTAGGGACCTCGAAGGCGGTATGAGTCAACTTCAAAAGCTCGTTGAGGACAAGCAGTATGCTATGTTCAAGAGCCAAGGTGCCTTTCAGGATGAGATCTACACTGAGATCGGGAATTTCGAGAAGCAGCTCCATTCGGTTGAGAAGGCCGTTAGGCTGCTCTCATCCTCGGGTGCTCCCGCTGCATCAGGGCCCGATAGGGCTGCTAGCAGTGGAGATGACGCAAGCTTTCGGGACTTGGTCGCAAGAGTCGATAGACTCCAAGGTGAGAGCGATCGGCATGGGGAATGGGCCACTTCGGCCATTGACGAGCTCCGTGCTGAGTATAGGTCCTTAATGCTGGAGTCCCGGAGTGACGGGGGATCTCTTCTGGCCGATAGGCCTAGGGATCTGGAATCACCTCAGGATTGGCGCGGGGCAGTCGAGGAGATCAATCGGAAGATTCAAGATCTCGCGAACAGAGTCCGTCGCCAAGCTCGGAATTATGACACCGTCGTCGAGGATGTTAGGGCTGTGAATGGCCAAATTGTAGTGTTCAATGCGAACACGCAGAGACTCCAGCAGGCTATGGAGGAGATAAGGACAAGATTGGTTGATCTACCTTCGACCACGGATGAGATGCAGGCCGTCGTTAGACGGGAGCTCGTCTACTATCGTAACATGTTAGATGCGTGTATGCGAAGGCTTGGGGCTACCGAGAACAACATCCGAACTCTGAACGAGATGAACACTCGAGTTATGTCTCAGTTTGCCAGTTTGCCGATCTCGAAGGGAGTATCGAAGATGCTGCTGGCTTGGTCCAACTTGCTCATGACCATCCTCGTGGACACGGGGGTAGGCCTAACGGGGGATACCGCGCTATCGCCGGACAGGGGCACAGATCAGGTCGCCGACGCCCACTCCTGGAGATGGAAACGCACGAGACTCTGTCCCACCGAATAGGCCGGGTGGAGGCGTTAGCCTAACTGATCATGTGCTGCCGAATGCGCCTGGTAGGGTTGCGGCTCCTCGTGCGGCTAGGCGCCCAGTTTCTCCCGTTAGGGATAGGGCGGATAGCCGGAGCAGAAGAGCTCTGCAGATGCAGGACAGGTCGCACTCTCCACCGAGGCGGACGCACTCTCCACCGAGGCGGACGAGGGAAGAATCACTGGCTCGCGCCAGAGCAAATAGAGCAAATGTTTCGATCTCACCGGATAGGGGTGAGGCCAGGAACAGGAGCCCGAGAGTTGCTGCGGTCCCCGATAGGGTGTCTGAGGTTAGGGCTCGACAATCGAGGAACGATAGGCCGGTCCGCGATAGCGGAAACGCCTCTAGGGATTTGAACCACCCACCTAGGAACGACCGGAACAATAGGGTCGGAGACAATGCCCCGAGTCCTGGCGGTAGCCGAGGGACCCCGGGGGCTCCGCCTGATCGCAGGCAGGCTGCTGGACCAACAGCAAGCGGTGAGCCAGGTGGCAATGGACCTGATCTCTCAAGGATGTGTGCTCGAGACAACCCCTACAGACGAGAGCATCCATGTGCAAGTTTCGTTTGTGTCACGTGTGAGCGTGACTTCTGCGAATTGTGCAGGGGTGATGACGGGGACTGTTGCAACTGTCAGTTCTTGAAAATGAAATGCTGGGCATGTCGAAGGAATGCTCTGGAGGTATCCATGTATTCCTGTCACATTGTTTTGAGCGATGCTCGCGCTGTCATGCGGCACATGAACGCGCTAACCGTGGGGCACCGCCTCCCCCTCCCGGGGATGGTGGTGGTCACGGGGGACCATCAGGCCGTGGTGGAGGCAGCGGTCATGGATCAAGTCCGCGTCCACCTCCTGGGCCTGGGCCTCCCGGCGAAGGACAAGGGCCCCCTGGACCACCTGGTGGTCCGACTGGAGGCGGTGGAGCACCTTCCGGGGGATACCCTGGAGGAGGTGGCGAACAATCAGTGTGGTTCCAGTTTTTATGGTCCTGCCTACGGGGGTGGCGTTAGCCACTACGGGGTTGGAGCTGGCGTTAGTCAGCCCAACACTGCCGCAGGTTACCCATCGAGTGTC